GGTGGCCTAAAGGTAAAAAAGCAAATGAGGATATAACATGATTTCCTGAATTTGAGTTCTCTTGATGGCAGGGGCAGATCCAAAAGTTTTTGTTAGGATGGATCAAAATAAAAACTAATTGCACATTAATATTTTTGTTCATTAATATTTCAATTAGAGTGGGCCAAAATTTAAACATTGTATATATTAATATATATATTTTTTTAAATTTAAGGGTCAACCAGTACTGCATCCACCCCTGCTTGATGGTAAAAGAACAAGAGGAGGATCTAATATAGTATCATGAGTTTGAATCCCCACGATTGCCATTGGAGCTTTTATCAGGCTTGTAGTTTCAGGGTTCCAAAAAATTAGTTGAAATACGTGCAAGCTGACCTAAATACCCTAGTCGTTAAAAAAAAAAAAAAATTGATCAAAATTATGCATGCACATGATCCTATTCTCTATCTCTTTACCTTCCTTTTCTTTCTTACAACCATCAACATCTAATATTTCTTCTAAAATCTTAACGTCATCATCATCCACTTTGCTATTATTGAAGCTAAGTGTTAACAAGTGATGAGCATAGTATTACTTATCTCATCCAAGCACAACAGAATTTGATCTCTTCCAGGAAAGGAAATGTTTTCTATGTTGTTGAAACTAACAATTCCTGACTAATAGGGGGTTTGATAGTAAAAGAGCAAAAAAAGTTCTACGAGCACTTGAGTTCAAGTATCCTAAGACACTAATAGCGGTGGCCATTAAAACTCTTACTTGACCAACAATTCCAGAGCCTCGATGGATTAATTAAAGTGTATATAAACTAGCCTGAACACTCCCGGTCTGAAAAGATTTGGAATCAGAGCCTGGGGAGGTGGATTGGAGAGACACAGAGAGACAGAGAGAACGGGAGGGGTAGTTTTGGTATATGGTAAAATTGGCAGGGCAATTGGTTTGGAGTTCAATGTGTTTTCCTTGGATTTCTTTCAGGCAGCGATTCTGGCCTGTCATTTTATTTCATCTCTTTTCTTTTAAAACATATCAATCTTCTTAATTAACATCTTAATTGAGAGGAAAATCTTAAATTAAATTTAAAATTCTAAGCGTTAAAATGATTTATTCTGGATTAATATATCATTAATTACATAGGGTTTTTTTATAAGTCCATGATTTTGCATAAAAATAAAAATAATATGGAATAATCCGTAAAGAAAACATTACTGTATTTAAAACAGATAGCTTTTGAGTTTTATCATATGTAGGTTAAAAACCAGAGAGTTTGATGGTTCATGACACCATGAAGACTAAATAAAACCCAAGAATTACGATATTTGAACAGCAAGTGCCCAGTAATCTGTCTAGATGGAACTCAAATAATCTCCCTTCTCCTTTATAATTCACTGGTGGGTATTAAAAGCAGGGAATAATGTCTAAGGTGTCAGCTCCAAATTAAAATTTCATGGCGCTGGCCGGAGTACAGCTTAGAGAAAGCTCCAGATTTAGATTTAAGTCTGTTAACTCTTTCTCTACCTTGGACACTTTGATTCTGCAGCGAACTACAGCCTTCACACCACTAGCTTGGTTTAAGTAATTTTTCATTCTACTGGTTCTGCTGTGATTCCTGACACTTGTGGTACTTCTTCCAGGTAGCTCTTGTGCGATACGCCACCATCTAATATATACGAATACACATAAAAACACTTTATAATCAAAACTATGTCAGATAAACCAAGAGAAATTATGAATTAAATAATATTTTGATCGATATTTACTGGTTTATGTGTTGTTTGTACAGTCTAATAATATCTTCGAGAAGTTTGGTTACCCGGATTCGAGATTTCAAAGTCTTACCAAGTGGGCATTTACCATATTTGTGGCTCACTTGATCTATTAAGTTTGTAGGGTATTAAATAAACTCCAAAACCCTTAAAAGGTTAGTTTGGTGGTCAAGGAGATTTGCTCTTTTTCTTGGGTTCCTAAGTTCAAACCTTGAGGCTGGCCTAAACACCCCGATTATCAAAAAAATAAATAAATAACTCCCAAGATTAATTGATATGCATATAAGCTAACCTGAACACTTCGGTCACTAAAAAAATTATCCAAAATTATATATATTAGTTGTATTTCCATTAACAACTTAGAATGATTATATAATTGAATGATCTTTTGTCGTTTCATGGAAATCTGTGTCGAAAAAAAAAATATTGTATAATTAAATAGATTCGGTAAGGGTGTTATTGCAAAATTTTCAATTCTATATGGTATTAATAGAAATAATCAATAGAGGACTACGTACAAAATGCGTAAATACGGTTATCTTGGGGGCGAGTTTAAAATAATGATTTTCTGAGTGCCGCTTTCTGAGTATATTATTGGGGAGAGTCTACGTTCTAACGGCTAGTAGGTGGAACGGTAACTTCAACGGTCGAAAATTTTCAAAAAGTTTCTCCTAAAAAGCCTCTCTAAATCACACCTTTCTTCTTCACTCTCTGCCTCCCCACTCTTAAATCTCTCTCCTTTTCTTCTTTTTTCTTCTCCACAGAGACTTCGTTTATCTCTTGTTCATCTTTAAAATCTCTGAAATACAAATACTCTAATCTAATTAGAAAAAAGAAGATAAAAAAAATTGGTTTTAAAGATGTTGCAAGATATGTGGAACGCTCCTCCTGGTTTCAGGCCAACCAAATCGGCTCCTTCATCACCGGCGAAGCCTCTTGGGGTGTCAAGAACACGGTCGGAGTCCTTTCATGCCATACACAAAGTCCCAGTTGGTGACAGTCCTTATGTGAGGGCCAAGAATGTTCAGGTAAGATTAGGGTGTTTTAAAATTGGTTTTTGATCTTTAGTTGATTTTTTGTTTCTCTGGTTTATGTTTTCTTGATGTGGGTTTTGTTTCTTTGTATGATTAGTTGGTGGATAAAGACCCTGAGAAGGCGATTCCTTTGTTTTGGGCTGCCATTAATGCTGGGGATAGAGTAGATAGTGCTTTGAAAGATATGGCTATTGTGATGAAGCAACAGAACCGGGCGGAAGAAGCCATTGAAGCCATCAAGTCACTGAGAAGTCGTTGTTCGGATCAAGCACAGGAGTCTCTTGACAATATCCTGTTGGATCTTTACAAGGTTTTAACACATTTCCGCATTTTGTATTTCTTTTTTGTTGTTCAGACTAAGCGAGTACTGATTTTTAGTTATTTGGGTAAATTATTGTACAGAGATGTGGAAGATTGGATGACCAAATAGCACTACTGAGACACAAGCTGTATTTGATTCAACAAGGGCTGGCTTTCAATGGGAAACGCACAAAGACTGCCAGATCTCAAGGCAAGAAATTTCAGGTCTCTGTGGAGCAAGAAGCAACTCGATTACTGGTGAGAATGCTCGAGTACAAATTTTGTTCAATGGCTTAGTATTGGTTTTACTGAACTGGGGTCAATGTTATGTTACAGGGAAACTTGGGATGGGCATTGATGCAGCAGAACAACTACATTGAAGCAGAAGATGCTTATCGACGAGCACTAACGATTGCACCGGATAACAACAAGATGTGCAATCTTGGTATTTGTTTGATGAAACAAGGGCGAATTGCTGAGGCTAAAGAAACTTTGCGGCGAGTGAAACCGGCAGTTGCTGATGGACCCAGAGGGGTTGATTCTCATCTTAAGGCCTATGAAAGAGCACAACAGATGCTCAAAGACCTTGAGTCTGAGATGATGAACAAAGGAGGGGATCGGGTTGAACAAAGTAGGCTGTTTGATGCCTTTCTTGGCTCTTCATCAATTTGGCAACCTCAGCCTTGCAAAGATCATACAGTCTTGCCAACAACAACAACTGCAAATAAAGCTCAGGATGACTTTGCTGATGAGAACACTGATTCCAATTTAATTGTGAATCAAATCATTCCTCCTCCTCAGCAGAAAAGTGTCAAACAACAACTTTTTCCCTATGGGAACTCATGGCAATCTCAGCCTTCCAAAGAAAAAAAAATCTTGCCCACAACCAAGGCAATCAAAACTCAGGATGATTTTGCTGATGAGAACATTGATCCTCCTCAGCAGAGAAGTATCAAACAACTTCCCCCTTATGGAAATCCATGGAATATCGATGCACCGCCGTTTTATTCATCCAAATTTTTGAAGGAGCCAATGGTAAAAGAACCAATTGGGAATCAGTTTCATGAGAAACTGAAAAGAACAAGGTCAGGAAATGCTGCTAATTCTATGAGAGTGAATGACATTGGGGAGTACACCAAGCCTTTTGCTATAGAACCAGAGAAACCTGAAAACAAGACAAGGAGGCTATCGACTGAAGAAGCAGAGAACAAACTGACAGAGTTTTTGCCCAACAACGAGGACTTTGAAGAGGCTATTATTGCTGCAGTTCTAGGTTCAACAAATGAAGCTGGGAAGAGTGATGAAACTAGCAACAATAATGCAGGGATATTTCAGAGGAAGATCGACAAGCGACTTAAGGTTTTCCAAGATATCACTCTTTCTTTGAGTCCAAGAGCCTGAATCTGATGGAGTCTTTTTACCTTAACTAATAATTTAATTTCATAATCTATGTAGCTTTTAGATTGGAGATAAACTTGTTCTCCTTGACTCCACTTCCTGCAGAAGAGTGGAAGGAGTATGTAGGTAGAAATCTGAGGGTAGAAATTTGACGGTTGTATCCACTAAACAATGTAGCATTTATTTAATTTTGCCTACCACTTATTTAATGTATGCCTCAACAAGGCACATCTCAATAAAAGAAAAAAATAATTGATGTCTCACTTTTGGCAATCTATTATGCAAAATAAGTCTCCCCTTTTCCCTATGGACAACAGGAAGGGAAAGCTGACCCGGACATCCCCGGATACCAAAAAAAAAAAAAAGTTCTTTAAATTTCAAGTCGAAATCAAAAACGGGACCTGTTTCTAAGAAATAGAACCACAGTAGTCTCGGACCAAATGCTCAGAGACTTGATACTAAACATAGGACCACAGCTGAAGTAATGAATAAATGAGAAAATGTAATATGATCATTCCACATAAAAGACCCATTTATTATCAAATCAAAGTGAAAGACATAAATGCTTCCTCTCATAGGACTTGCCAGTAACATCATGTTCAATCAAGAAACTTATTGGTGAAATTTCCAACATGGATTCCATGTGATACGGATAAAACTTAAAAGTTCTTCACTTGACCCTTCTGTGAACTTCATAAAAGTAACTGAAGATCACCACGGCTGCAGCAACTGCAACTCCCACAGCACCTTGTGCCAATACAGTACAGTTCTTCACAGCGCCCTTAGAACCCAGGGGAGATGGATTAAAGCCTAGCTCTGAAAGTTTCTTGTGTGATACTGCATAATCTGCGAAGAATGCATCCTCATCCTACCATATGAACAAAAAAAAATCTCAATTAATAATGTGATGCAACACTGTAAGTTTTCATCCTAACATAAACCATTCATCTTCCCATTTATTAAGAATCAATATTACCTTTGCATATAACTCCACATAGCGGCGGAACTCTGGATCCTCCAGTAAAGCCTTATCTGTTGGAAGTTGTAACAGTTCCTCTGAATTTCCTTTCAGAAGCTCCCTGCTCACATCATAGTATTCATCATGAATTATGCAAATAGAATGTATACAAAAGTTAGATTCATCATGAATTATGCAAATAGAATGTATGCAAATTTCATTTATGTGAAGCACTGATAATTTATCATACACAAAGTATGTGTTGTCGAATTTTGCAGGATCCTTTGTCCAGGCGCCCTCAAAGCCTGATCTTTCTGCATGTGCTTTCCCCTAAAAGAAATAAAAAGAAATTACATATAACATTTAATCAGACTAGAGAATTAGCTGCAAAGTGGAATCAGGGCAAAATGTTACCAATGTGTGGCCACCGGACAGTGCAACAATGTCCTTGTCAGATAGACCCATCCGATAAAAGACAGCCTTTATATGTGCTACACCTGGAAAATATTGAGTAAAATAGAGTAAAATCTGTTAAATCTATTATAAGTTACAGTAAACAACCCAATGTACCACTATTTGAAACTTTAACAAGCTTAACTATCTTTAAGTTCTCACATAAATAGACTTGGTTAATTATTTGCCAAGAAACTGTGAACTTGATAAAAACCTCCCATAGAATCGAGTCATCAACCAACCTTCCTAGAACTATGCTTAGCTAAAATTTGCATCCCTGTCCATATAAAATTTCACAGTGCTTTCCAAACCGTCCATTTTCATGCAAACAAAATGCTATCAATTCAATCTAAACCAATTACGTTCTTGCCTAACCTTGAGGCATGCAAGTGCTGTGCAAAAAAATTCTGCTTAAGAGCCTTATGGTTAAAATGGAAAAGACACGAAATACAATTGAAATAAAATGGAATTTAAACTGATAAAATAGGTCAGTGACAAACCTTGTTTTGCATCAGGAAGGCGCCCATCTTCGGTACAACCTGTACAATCTATACAATCCTGATAAGAAATAATAATTAAAAAAAAAAAAAAATTAACATTGTGCAATACGATTAAACAACTCAACATCATCTCATCTTCAAATGAAATACCTCTCTGCCGGGAACAAAGTCAATAGTGGGTCCTCCACTGACTTCCACTGCAACAACCCCACCTAGCTGAAAATCCAAAGATCAACAAACTTTACATCTATATAAATCAAATCAGATATCTGCATGAAACGCATATGATATTGACAAATATAAGATCATTCAATCACCTGATAAAGATCAGCATATGTAATTTTAGGATGCTTGGCCTTTATTCCCTCTAGTATCAAAACAAACGCAAAGAAACAGTCAGTAAAAATAAACTAATAATCAATAATGATAATAATGATAAAAGAATCATTTCATAAGTAGAGCTCGGTAGCAAAAACCTCACCCAATAATTCTATAGCAATCTTTAAACCGTTATTTGCTGAATGCGATTGCTCTTGCTCGTGCCTGATTGATCCATTAGGTCCGCCAGTTTTGGTCTTAGCATCATAAGTTCCAGCATCGTGCCACCTGTCCATGCAAGCATCAAAGGCTCCATCATCAGAATCATCAAAATTCATAATCACAGAGTACACTAGTTAACATTATTAACACTTTAAAATAAAATAAAAAAGAAAATTACGCCAAGCGAAGCAGGATAGCGGCGCAGTTCTTGGTGGAGATAAGATGACGAAGATCTCGACGAGCCTTCTCTATCTCCTTCAAGTACTCTGCGTTTACTGCTATACGTCCCACCATTGTAAAATTCTTACTATTTTCTCAAAACAAAACAAAAAACACAGTTGAATCAAGTTTCCTTGAAATTATATGGAGAGATTTACAGAGAAAAATATGAAGGAAAAGAATCAAAAGAGAAGAATTGATTAAAGAGTTGGATAGGAATGAGATAAAATGAAGGAAAGGGATTGCCTTGTTCAGTTTGGCCGCTGAGGGAGGGAAGGGAATGCTTTTAATTATTTTTTTTATTATTATTATTATTATTATTTTCAAATTTGGCTTGATATTATTATTATTCTGAGTTACGTCGTTATGGGAGCGTGGAATGTACGTGCGACTGAGAAAACCAAGAAAGATGAAGTAGACGTATGATCGTTGTGTCAGAATTTTCGGTTAGTGTGAGTGCGCGNAAATGCTATCAATTCAATCTAAACCAATTACGTTCTTGCCTAACCTTGAGGCATGCAAGTGCTATGCAGAAAATTTCTGCTTAAGAGCCATATGGTTAAAATGGAAACGACACGAAATACAATTGAAATAAAATGGAATTAGATAAACTGATAAAATAGGTCAGTGACAAACCTTGTTTTGCATCAGGAAGGCGCCCATCTTCGGTACAACCTGTACAATCTATACAATCCTGATAAGAAAAAATAATTAAAAAAAAAAAAATTAGCATAGTGCAATACGATTAAACAACTCAACATCATCTCATCTTCAAATGAAATACCTCTCTGCCGGGAACAAAGTCAATAGTGGGTCCTCCACTGACTTCCACTGCAACAACCCCACCTAGCTGAAAATCCAAAGATCAACAAACTTTACATCAATATAAATCAAATCAGATATCTGCATGAAACGCATATGATATTGACAAATATAAGATCATTCAATCACCTGATAAAGATCAGCATATGTAATTTTAGGATGCTTGGCCTTAATTCCCTCTAGTATCAAAACAAACGCAAAGAAACAGTCAGTAAAAATAAACTAATAATCAATAATGATAATAATGATAAAAGAATCATTTCATAAGTAGAGCTCGGTAGCAAAAACCTCACCCAATAATTCTATAGCAATCTTTAAACCGTTATTTGCTGAATGCGATTGCTCTTGCTCGTGCCTGATTGATCCATTAGGTCCGCCAGTTTTGGTCTTAGCATCATAAGTTCCAGCATCGTGCCACCTGTCCATGCAAGCATCAAAGGCTCCATCATCAGAATCATCAAAATTCATAATCACAGAGTACACTAGTTAACATTATTAACACTTTAAAATAAAATAAAAAAGAAAATTACGCCAAGCGAAGCAGGATAGCAGCGCAGTTCTTGGTGGAGATAAGATGACGAAGATCTCGACGAGCCTTCTCTATCTCCTTCAAGTACTCTGCGTTTACTGCTATACGTCCCACCATTGTAAAATTCTTACTATTTTCTCAAAACAAAACAAAAAACACAGTTGAATCAAGTTTCCTTGAAATTATATGGAGAGATGTGCAGAGAAAAATACGAAGGAAAAGAATCAAAAGAGAAGAATTGATTAAAGAGTTGGGTAGGAATGAGATGAAATGAAGGAAAGGGATTGCCTTGTTCAGTTTGGCCGCTGAGGGAGGGAAGGGAATGCTTTTAATTATTTTTTTTATTATTATTATTATTATTATTTTCAAATTTGGCTTGATATTATTATTATTCTGAGTTACGTCGTTATGGGAGCGTGGAATGTACGTGCGACTGAGAAAACCAAGAAAGATGAAGTAGACGTATGATCGTTGTGTCAGAATTTTCGGTTAGTGTGAGTGCGCGTGTGATAAGAAGAAAGCGGTGTCTTATCTTTATTGAAAATAGGACCCCTACCAACGAACCGGATCGTTTTCCACGTACTGTAACGGTTTATGGTTATTTTGGACCCGATCACAACTGGACCCCGGTTCATACTTCAGCCCAATAGTAGTGGGCCTATAAAAGGCCTCACGTATTTACTAAACCAACCCTATTTAGTTTTTGGGAAGTGATTTTTAGCCCCACTTTTAAATGTAATTTTTGTTTTGACAAATTTAACCTTAGTTTAAATTATTATAAATAATATTATAATTTCTAAATACACTTATATACTATTTTATTTTTAATTTTTAACATTTAATCTTACATAAATTTTAACCCTAAATTTTCATAACCCAATCCTAATTTTCAATAATCATTGAAACCTTATGTTTTATTTTAAATATTTGCTTGTTTGATGAAAATATAATATTAAAACTATGGAAAAAGTAATTATACAATGAGATGAATCTTTGAAATTGGAAAAAATAGACCTAAGTAAACTTAGAAGGTTATTTTCGATATTAAATATGGTTTAAAGATTTTTTTTTTTTTTTTTTAAATTATAGAGGAGGTGTATTTGGTAATGGGGGCTAAAAATCACTTCCCTTAGTTTTTTATATTTTTTCCTCTAATTTCAAATGAGGGTTAAATTAAAAGGCTTACACCTTTTTAACTTTTACGTTTATGATACGAAATCATAGTAATTCTTTTAACTTCGATATCACATTAGACTTCGCAAAATTTTTTTTTTCTTTTGGTGACCGGGAGTGTTTAGATAAGCTTGTATGCACTTCGATTAATCCCCCGGGATCGTGAAGTTAATGATCTGGTAAACCCTCTAGTGTGTACCCATATTAGCAATTGAGAGGAATTGAGCTCAAGACCACTTGAGTAATACACCTAAAAAGTATTTATCGTCCACTCGGTTACTCAAAGGTGGTTTCACCAAAAGTTGTCGACCAATTAAGAGGGATTACCTTGTTTCCTAGAAGAAGCTACTATCAGAATCCAAGCATTATTGCCCTCTCTCATTTTATATAAACACAATTTACCCAAATTAATAAGAGTTTTTTTTTTTTTTTGGTAGTGGGGAGCATGATTAAATGTATTGTGATCTTACACTTTCCATGTGCACACTATGCTTTTAAAATTAAATCTCCATCTACATTTGGATTTACTTGAGCTTAACTAGAACCATAGTCTATGTGATTAATAAACAAAACTTGGTAAGGGTAAGGGTGATGGTGATGGTGATGGTGATGGTGTGTCCAAACATGAACTATTATTTATTTATTTTCTGAGTAAATGACTTTTTTCCCACCCAAATAATAGTTTAATGACACTTTTCCACCTATAGACTTTTAAAATACAATTTTATTACCCAAATTTACATTCTGTTTCTGATTCCGATATCGTTGCGACCTCATACCATCACTATTATCACTCATCAAAACCCCTCAAACCTAAATCCTGCCGACCCGCCAATCGCTAGTAATCAAGTGATTAGAGTTTTCTCAACCACTCATTTTAAGTCAAATTCCTATCAATCTCAACCACCAAAATTCAACTTTCCACCACCAAAAGACTCATCGGCTTTCTTTCTTTAAAAGCCCGAACAATCTTGATCGAGTTTGCTTTTTATTTGCCGTTGGAATATAAATTGGTAGGGGTGTTCAGTTCCGAGTACCCTGCATTTTTTGAAGGAACCGGTATCGGAACCGATGGTTCCTTAAAATTTGGAACCGAAACCGGAACCGTACCCAGAACTGGAACCAGTAACAACGGTTTTGTTTTGGGTACCCTGTAAAATTTATGACCCCCCAAAAGTTTTTAAAATGGAAAAAAAACCCTTATAAACTTACAAATACCCCCCCTGGAACTTGTTAACAAAAATAAAATTATAAATTATAAATTACAAATTACAAATTCCATTACTTTGTAAAGATAGATTCTCAAAAGTCAAACTAACTTACTTTAAATGTTATGAAATATAAATATAAATGTATTCAATTTACTTTTTCTATAAAAGTTTTTATTAACCCCCTACTCTTTAATTTTATTTTATATTAGTCTCGGTTTTCGGTTCCTAACTATAAGAACCAGAACCGGAATCGCATAGAAACGGTTCAAAAATTTGGAACCGGAACCTACCCGTTGACGGTCAGTTCCGGGTAGGAACTGGAACCAAACCCCGGGTATCTGCTGGTTCTGATTCCAATCGGTTTTTTTGAACACACCTATAAATTGGGTAGTAAAGTCGACATTCTAAAAGTTTGTAGGTGAGAAAGTATCGTTAAACCATTATTTGGATGAGAAAAAGTCATTAACTCTTATTTTCTTTATTATAAGTGCTTCTTCCTGGGAAATACCCTCTACCGGTTGGATTCCACTACACAATTCCCTAAAAAAGGCAACCAATTACTTGAATTATATAAGATAATAAGAATTTAACTCCCAAAGCAACCCATTCTTTAATGGGTAAGAAGGCCACATCTATGAAACGTCACCGTTGTATGAAGGATTTTCCATTTCTATTGCGCTGTTATTTTATCAACAATTTCTTGGGTATTGTTATCATAGCAAAAAACGCAGCAGAAATGGGGAAGGTGATACTCCCAATTTCTCTGTAATTTTTTTATTTTTTATTTTTTTAAATTCTGGAAAAGGTAAACAATAGAGCAATGAGTCAGTCAGTCTCGTGAGTTACAATACATCGAGTGTCTTGTGCTGTTGTGCATTCACCCTTTGATATTCCGGGAATACTAGATAATCAACGGCTGAGGTTAATCAATGAAGTAATAGGTGTTGATATTGACTTGGTGTAGGTCTCTGGTTTCGTATGGAGTCAAGTTTATGAGATCAGCCTCAGCCAGCTTAAGCAGGAAGACGAAATTTAAGTTGACAATGTAAAGTACGGTCGAATTAATGGTAATGGGATAATTCCATCTTTAAAATGTATTCTAAAAGCGTAAGATTACACTTATCAATTATGTAGACCGTCTCTTCATCTCGATTGACGTAGAATATTGTTATGCCTGAAAAATCAAGAGCTGACGTGGGAAGTCACGTGATGGGGTGTGACCTGCTACCGTCAGAACACACGTCAAGCCTGTCAGACGCTATGGAGCTCCCATGTGTCCATTTCCTTGCTCCAAATCGTGTGAAATCAGCTTGGAAGGTGGACAATGTGACGTGAAGCCGGATTTTGTCCTAACATTCACACCAACCCGTGGATTTAATGATGATTACTTGCACTCATCTCACTATAAAAGAGGAAGACCCCTTCATTAAAGGGGATTCGGTCATTTTACACTCTGAACTAGCTCTCTCTCTCTCTTGTACCTTTGTATTTATATTTCCCTAATTATTTGTAAGTCAGTCCGCTGTTGCGACCTGACCCATAATACTAATACAAATCAGTGGACGTAGAACTTGCTAACTTAGCATCTGAACCACTTCAAAAAGCTCTCATTGCATACATTTTTATCCACAATCACGTGTGTCTCTTGACCAATCAACGTTACGTACGTGTCGATTAGTTGGTGTCAAAAATCATGCATCAACAAATACGATGTGATTAGTCGAAATAAGAATTGGTTTGCAAAACCAGTAAATTTAGTATTTTTCATTCTAAATTTTTTCGAACAACATGAGTAATATAATATCTCTATAATATAATCTATAATATTTATATTAAAGTATTAATTAATTGATATTTGAAATGCTAAAAATAAAATTGGAAATATCAAAACAAAAGTAGAAGTTCGAATCTCTCCATGATAAAAGAGCAAAAGTAGAATTTAACATGATTTTATAATATTTCAAAGTAAAAGAGTAAGAGTAGAATATAATATAATGTGTTGAGTTCGAGTCTTCACGGTTACTAATGTAATAGTCACTAAAACTTGTAATCAATCGATAGTTCAAGAGTTTCGAAGATTAATTGAGAACCGTCCAACACTTCAAATATATATATATAGGGACGGATCCAGCTCACTTTTGGCTTACTCTCAATTTTTTTTTTAAAATACTAATATATATAATTTTTAGATTTTGACTAATCCTAATAAAAATATTAATGAGTAAAAATATTAATATGTAATTAGTTATTATTTTTAATTTTCTGGATCTATATATATATATATATAAAATATGGTGGGGCGGTTTAAGTATAATTATGATGTCTCTGTAACCAATAATGGCCAAATAACAGCGTCTCACTTCAATATTATTTCTAATTTTGAAAGCCTCTGTATATCCGTTGAAATATCAAGTTACAAAAAACACCCTCAACAGTCAACACAGAGCTTCAGCTTCGGACGTCCCATGATACATACACTTCCATCTGACAACAATATCTAATTTTTATTCTTCATTAAAAAAATAAAAATAAAAATAAAAATTCAGATTAAATATGTATTTTTTGGTGTGTATTAGAGTTGTGAATGTTTAAGGGCATTCTGTAGTAATTAAAAAAGGTCACTGTAGGGTATTTTCGTCTCTAAATTCAAATATAAGAATTTTTTAACTGTGCCCAAAGACTCTCTGCCCAACGTTCACTGTCTCTGCAACAGCAACTCTCTCTCTCTCTCTCTCTCTCTCTCTCTCTCTATTCTTCAACCACGGCGCCATCACCAGTCACCAAACCACACCCCCATTTCTACAGTGAAAAAAAGACACTCGAAGGAAAGAAAGTAGAAATTTGCAGGCGTGCATTGGGTTTAGTTTGTAACTGTACTAGTGTTTAGTCTTACAGATTGTGGAATGTGGATAAAGAAAGAAACTTTTATTTGCTTAGCCCTAGCGTAGCCAGTGTTGTTTCACTGACAGTATGTATTCGTACTAATTAAAGATGAAAGTGAGCTTTGCTTTTGCCGCAATGGGCGCCAACGACGCCATCTTAAGAGGGGAGGAGGGGTTTTTATTTTAGATATATTCTTCTACAATAGTGTACCTCCCACAAACAGAAAACAAAATCTTGTATTTTTGCAAAGTGTTTTTGCTTTTTCTTTTGGTATTAACTCAAAGCTAAACCATAGATTCGATCTGAAAAACACACAACAACTGGGAGATGGGTTGTTGTGTCTCAAATCTAGAGAGAGGAGAAACAGTGTCACGATGCAGAGCGAGAAAGAAGTACATGAAACAGCTGGTTGAAGCAAGACAATCTTTTTCAGCTTCACATGCAATGTATCTTCGTTCCCTTCGCAGTACTGGTTCGGCTCTTCTTCAGTTTTCAAATAGTGAGTCCGCTCTTCACCTCCACCAACAACACCACCTCCGAACACCATCACCGCCATCACGTATCTTTCGTTCACCACCACCACCACCAGCAGAAATCTTTCGTTCACCACGGCCTCCGTTTAGTCCCAGCACTGATACGTGGTCATCATCAATGGGGGCTTCTCCTCTTCCACCTCCGCCTCCTCCACCTCCCCCATCGTCAACTTGGGACTTCTGGGACCCATTTGTGGAAACAACACAGTCGGTGACTGAGGAAGAGTGGGAGGAGGAGGCTACTACCAACATGTCTGAGGTGCCATTGACTAGGTCTAGGACGGAGAGTACGATGGCGCCACCTTCGGTGTTGAGTGGGTACTCTAAAGAAACTACTGGGACTGAACTCGCCGTGGTGCCATCAAGAAATGGTAAGAACATTGTTGAGATTATCAAAGAAGTTGATGATTACTTTCTTAAGGCCGCTGATGCTGGTGCTGAGCTTTCTGTGGTTCTTGAGGTTCCAAGTACTAGTTTTTCTACATCCCAAACAAAAGGAGGTATGTATGTATGTATTAATATGTGGGTTTCTTGATTTTGTTTGTCAGATTTGTTTTGTTATCTCTTATGTACTTTCCCTTGACTTCTTTGAGATGTCTTCTCTATTAGTTAGCCAAAACAAAATAGTTGCATGAGATCACATTATTCAGTTCAAAATAATATTTATGAGTGATTTGTGAATCTGGTATGGCAGGTAAAGTTTACAACTATGGCTTTAGTTTGAGTCCAACGTTGTGGACATGGGGTTCCAGTCCAAAATCTCACGCATTTGGAAACTGCTTGCGTGACCAAGTGGTTGGAAACAAAGGAGTTGGTAGCCATTCCTCAACCATTGAGAAACTATATGCTTGGGAGAAGAAACTGTATGAGGAGGTTAAGGTAGAGATCTACTTTCACAAGTCTTCGAAACATCTTTCTATCTCAGTTCTTTCATTTACTAGTACTATTAGCAGTAGTTCAGCTTTTGTTCAAGTTTCAGGAGATCAAAAAGAAAATGGGCATTTTTTTTTCTTATGGCATCATCTTGTCCTTGGTATAACATGAACTGTACTTGATGAAACCCCCCATAAGCTCTGTGCTTATAAGAAATTAAGATCTGAATCTTTATCTTTTGGGGCCCAAGAATGGCCTTTACATTTCTTGGACAAAAACTTAGGGAGTCAAAAAGTGGTTGGTGGTCCATAGCAATATGGATTCATGAGCTGACAAGCTTATTATTCAATTCTCATTTAGTTTAGTTTATGTTTTAAGTGGTTTCTCTACTTGCGTGTTTAGGATTCTGAGGCTATAAAGATGGAGCATGAGAAGAAAGTGGGCCAGCTGAGGAAACTGGAGTTGAAAAGAGCTGACTATTTGAAGACTGAGAAGACCAAGAAAGAGCTTGAAACGCTAGAGTCTCAATTAATGGTTTCCTCTCAAGCCATTGAGACTATATCAGCTGAGATCATCAAAATCAGAGAAACTGAACTCTACCCTCAACTTCTTGAGCTTGTTAAAGGGTTAGTCTTCTTCTAATTCCTTGTACTTCCATAACTATAACATATTTGATGGAAAAAATAACTATACTCACAGCTAACGCCATATGGATTTAAGAGCTAAAGGCTAAGACTTGAGAAATCACGTGACTTTGTTACATCATTTTCCCATCCAGGGGCTGCCTGGATTAGGTATAGCATGTGACACCTTCTAGTGAAGACATGGTTACACTTTGGATCCTTCAATTAGCATTATTATAGACAGGCAGGGGGCATCTTTTAACTTGGTTGCTTTTACTTTGGACTGTTCTTTGTTCTTTTTCTTGTGATGAGAAGTTAATGTTCTTGCATGCATTATTTTGGTAAAAATAAAAGTAAACCTAGCAAAGGGAATACAATTCCAGGATCCGAGAGAATAATAGATTTTGCATACGGTTTATCAGAACTGGGGAACCCCAATAAACAACAAGAAGATAAAAGAGTACCTGGTTATGTATACTGAGAGAGAGATAACCATATAAACCTAGATAAGAAGATTTTGCATATTTTACGGTACAGAGAATTACTTTTGACTGATTTTACTGGCCCTTATTTGCTTTTGTAACAATGATATTCTAACGCCTAATTTTCCGAGTCCCAAAGTACGAATTATTGTGGGGGCTATTATGATCCCAAAACCAACCTCAATTTCATTCATTGACCGGGGTCTCTCCCTGACTTTACAACCAGGCTTAATCTTTTTCCTTTTGAACATCTTAATGGGACATAATCTTTGTCACCTCAATAGGAGTACAATACATTTAGTAGTGGGGTCATCAGATGGAACATAAAGGATTGATGGGGTAAATACAATTAACTCGTACTTGTTGGCAGGATTGGATGTGGACTTTGTTCTGCTGCTGTGTATACAAGATTTTATTTTACTGAAGCCTGCACTTAGTGTCCTCAAAACCCATTATTGTTCCTTTCATGATTTGGTGCTCAGTTAGAGAATCTAAGATTTGACGCTGTGGTTTATGTAAGGATAGACATTTTTCCTTTCATGAAAATATGGTTTATATTTCATTCTTCTGTTGGTTTGTTTTTTGTCCACTGTTTCCAATTATCTTTTTAGCTTGTATGAACAAGAAAACAGTATGTAATTTACTTGAACTTGCTTGATTCCTAGATTAATGAGCATGTGGAGAAGCATGTATGAGAGCCACCAGGTCCAAACTCACATAGTTCAGCAGTTCAAATACCTCAACACAATTCCATCTATTGAAGCCACATCTGAGATTCACAGGCAATCAACTCTGCAGCTTGAGCTCCAAGTCCAGCAATGGTACCAATCTTTCTGCAAATTGGTTAAAGCCCAACAGGAATACATTCAGAACCTCACAGGGTGGCTACGGCTAAGCCTTTTCCAGTTCACCAAACCCCCACTTTCTAGAAACGGCCAGGAATCGGGAATTTACTCATTTTGTGAAGAATGGCACCTAGCAATTGATAGGATTCCAGACAAAGTAGCATCTGAAGGAATCAAGAGCTTCTTAATAGTGATGAATGCTATAGTAGTTCAACAAACTGAAGAACATAAGCAAAAGAAGAAGTCAGAGTCTGTATTTAAGGAGCTTGAGAAGAAGTCATCCGAGCTAAGATCACTGGAGAACAAGTATGGTCCATTTTCGGTGCCTGAAAACTCTAGCAAGGATCCAGTTGCAGAGAAACGACTGAAGGTGGAGATGTTAAGAACCAAGGCAGAAGAGGAGAAGAATAAGCATGAGAAGTCGGTGAGTGTGACGAGAGCAATGACCATGAATAACCTGCAGATGGGTTTCCCGCATGTCTTTCAAGCAATGGTCGGATTTTCAAGTGTGTGTATGCAAGCTTTTGAATCCTTATACAATCAAGCCGAGGGTATTAGACAGGAGCAAGAAGTGAAGAGGATACTCCCTTGAAATGGGATCTTTAATATAAAAGGAAAAAAAAAAGCAATGAGATTTGGTTTTAACCTTGAAATGGGATATTTAATTTAAAACAAAAAAGGCTAAGATATTTGGTTTTTATGTGTATAGATGACATGCATCCCATTCAGTTGATGGATTGAAGCACAGAGAAGTGTTGCAGGCTCACCTCTGTGCAAATCAATGTGATGCAAATTTTGTGTACTGATGGGAAATGCTGTGAGCCATTTTGGTACAGGGGAGTCGTGGCAACTTCAGAACTCGGACGGATTTAGGTGTTTTCAAGTAGGCCTTATGTATACCTTGTTTTTGTGTTTTCAATAGGAAGCTGCTACAATGCTTAAAATGTTATCTTCTATTTGGATCTATAAAATTAGTCTTTGTCTGTCTCTAGTGTTTGATTTCAGTTCACTAAAGAGTGAAAGGTGCTGAGGAGGCACTGGGGAAGTTAACCCGTTATGCCTCACTCCATAATTCTACAAGACCAGCTGAGATAGTATTTCATGGCAAAGATTCATAAAATCGAAAGCTGATTATGCAACTAATTTTATTGCAAGTATAATAATGTCACAAAACAGAAGGTTGGTGATAATACACAACTACTATAACTGCTGTTTACTATGCACAATATTTAGGACTAATTATATGCAGAGTTCTATCAATATTGGGCACTGGATTGCCATTGCCCAATACACTTTCTACGTAACCAAGTCAACCGTTTCTCACCTTTTAAGGACAAGAATGTTTCTCTTGCATTACGGTTGTGGAACAGATCCAGAGCTGCTAGATAGATTTGTTCTTCAACTACCTGCATTTGATCCAATTCTTTGATACAATTAGCAATAGTGTATCTGCCACTAGAGTAATTTACAGCAGCTGTTCTCATCTTTGAAGCTGCTGCCATTTCTAATATAGCTCCTGCAATAGCGTCATCAATCCCCTTGCGACCTTTTTTTCGCACGGTAGTTGAACTGGAACTAGGCATAGCAGACGGGAATTCTTCATTGTCTGCCATCTCATCCTCAGATTCTGAAGAAGTAACTTCTTGGATTACATTCAAGGGCTGCGGATAAGGAAGCGAGGAAGAAATCCCTCCCTCAAGTTCAGCTGACTGGACATTTTTCCCATTGGTTGTCGTCGACTCAGAGAATATCAAACATAGTTGTTTATAGAGAGGGCATCCATTCAGTTTTATGTTCTCAGCATCGGCATGTCCCTAATTCATTTCACAAGGAGTTAGTGACCATAAATAAATTAATAAAGAACATGCATCAGCTACTGCATCATTAATGGCTAGTCAAGAAATCTACTATACTGAATCACAATTACATCGAACTTCTTAGAATCCAACAAAGTATAAACCCAACATTTTTTTCCCCGAAAAATAAAACAACCGCATCAAACAGGTGACAACAGAAATGGAATCAAAATTACCTGCCCATATTTAGCCCACGCTTCATCAGTAGCTATAATAGTCCCAGAGGAATCATCCCAAGTGAAGAAATCACCGTGATCAAGAAGTGACTTCACAAGACCATACTGTCTTCTCAAAACTGAATATCTATTCTTGAGTTGTTCCTTATCCCACTTTAGACCAGTTTTTTTATAGAACTCATCACATATACATCTCCAAGCTTTCCTGTTGAAAGAATTGTTTTTTCTATTCCCTTTATAAACCTGATCAACCATCAAGTCCGTAAGAACCTTTGTTAAGAATGTAGTCCACCTAGCCCTCGACTGATGCTGCTGTTGCTGCTGTTGTTGTGACAGTTGCCTCTTTGACAAGGAGAACCGGGTCGCCATCTACAGCTTCTCATTCAACAAAATTGAGTAAAATTTTATGATATTCAAAGGCCACCCACTACAGATAATAGGAATTCCCACAAACCCAGTTTCAGATTAGAATCAGCAAATTAAGGTTTTATGCATAATAGTAAATCAGAATTTTGCAAAATTAAAGGCGATACGAGACAATTGTTTGAAACTGGGAAGCATATTTAAATTTAAATGTGATTAAACCCCAACGTAAAATCCAAGCTAAAGAGAGAAACAGAAAATAGATTAACCTTCGAAGAAAAATTGAGGATCCGAATTAAACTGATATACCAGACTTACTTCGATTCATGAACACTGCTGCTGTGAAGAAACAAACAAACTTTAAACACAGTTTGTCTTTTTCTTTTTTCTTCCTTCTAGTTCTAGTGGAGAGGATTTTATCCCCACTGGTCTTGTTCTTTTCCCGTCGATTTATATTCTTTTTTCCTCCTTATATATATGTATGGCTAAAGCATTTCTTACCCACCTATATTTTAATAACTTGCATAGTCAACTCCCGAAGCAAAGACAAAAACAAAAGGAATATTGCAATATAATAAAATCAAATAATTTAAAAAAATGAAATAGACCTCTCCCCTGTAACCGGATGATAAGTCCTATATTTAGTTAGTTATACCCAGGATTTTGAGTCGCCGGTAAGGTAATTATCGGATTTATCCCACAAAAAAAAAAAAAAAAAAAAAAAAAAAAAATGAGAGATGGAGAACTTATCAATACAACGTTCTTTTTCTTACTTGTCTTTGCTAAGAAAAAATTATGACTATGACAATATACTAAACAAAAATTAACCAATGAACCATTACTACGGTTCTGCTTTTGGTAGACATGACTACTGCACATTCTTCTGTAGGTGATGATGCATGCCTACATTTTTGTTCCCTGATCGATATTTTTAACTCAATTCTGAAAATTAGATACAATGGGATATTTCAAGTAAAAGAAATATTTACATTATTTTCTTCTGGTAAGTAGTAAATTGCAAGGAGCAACAAGTAATAACAAATTGGGAGAATTCAATCTTGAATCAATTTACTTCTCCAGCTCGCTGCTCACCAATCTTCTATTTCATCATCAGACATCTCAGTTTCTGGCTCATCCAAGCTCATGTTATCAAAACTGTCATCTGCCGTCGAATTGCCTTGCATCAATACATCATGAACATCAAGACCTCCCGATGTCCTATTTTCGAGCCATTTAAGTAAAGATGTGTACTCAGTTGCTATAACGGACACATGAGAAGAGTTTATTCCCTTATAATCAATAAATTTTTTCTTTACCATCTCTTTCTGCAATCACAAATGAAAATAAAAAGATCAATTATAAAACTAGCGTTCTGATGCAAAAGAAAAAGTCATCATTGATAGTGGCACACTGAAGAAAGAAAAATTGCAACTCTTCTGGCAATTACAGTAGATAACAGTTTTCTCGTGCATAGCATGCAAATACAACTCTATTTAAGCACTTCATAGAAGTTGCTACAACAACAGATCATAAAAACGTGTTTCCAACAAAACGCCATCGTATTTTACTAAGAAAAGTAAACTGCCAACATTTTCTTCTTTTTGACATGCAGTGTGGAAGTATTTTGAACATTAAATCCCATAGATACGAGTATAGAACAAATGAGCTCTTTTTGAGATTTGTACTTTTTCCCTGCTTGTTTTCACATTTAAAATATAGATGGCTAATGCAGCTCAAAGTAACAACACTTAAAGAAATTATGCAATGGACCAGAGAAGAATAATCTGAAAGAACCTTATTACGAAATGATGATTGCTCAACCTGCCAGAGCTTTGGCTTACGAATAGCATGCCACCTGCATTCACAAAAATTGGTGAAAAAATTCAAGATATAAAGAGGATTGCTCCTAACTGGAATATAAAGGCACGAAAGTAAAATAAAAAAACCTAGAAGGCAGGGGATGTGAATTTCCAAATAGAACTCCACGAACAGCAACTGAAGCCGCAGCTGATTGTAGAACATTCTCCGCTTCATTGTATCTGGCCAGCATTCCTCGAAAAGATGCAAGAAGCAAGTCAGCATCACCTAAATAAGAAGCCACAAGCCACGCATCGTCCATTGCATCCTCGCTAAGAAAATCTAGAACTACACGAAAAATGTAAAAAGCAGACCGTAGTCCATCTTGTTTTGACAATTTTTCAATATAGTCAAGTCATTGAAAACACTACACTCACACACACACGTACAAAGAACTCACAAAAACATACCGACCACTCTGTGACCCTCGTACCCCCTCCCCCCCAGCAGACACACACGGAGACTCTCTCTCTCTCTCTCTCTCTCTCTCTCTCTCTCTCTCTCTCCCTCCCTCCCTCTCTTCCTCCTTGTTTATTTTCGTTAAGTTTTTTTCGACGTCTAAATTTTCTTTTTCTTTTTAGTGGTAAAAGTACATTTTTTAGTCGTTATCCGGAACGAACAGGTACACGAACTGTGTCTTGGAAAAGCCCTCATAGGTAAAAGGTTCCATTAGATCTCTTGAAGAGGAAATGTTGGAATGCATCTTGGTCTACAACACAAACAGTAGCTCGTAAGTGAAAACTCTGACAGAAATAAAACACTATCTTAAATTGTCTTCAAGATGGGAAGAGGTTCCATGTCTTCCATCTTCACATTTATGTATTATTACTGACTCTTGAAAGTTACGAAACTCCTTCACAAACACTTGGGGAGAAAACTCCAAAGTAACTTATGACATACCCATTTCTACAACATTTTCAGTCTCTCTTTTGTTGTGTAGAAATTTTCCCAGGGCATGAAATAGAGAAAGTGTCTCGTCTCTGCCAAATTGCATTGAAAATTCACTATCCAAATCATTGAGATCTTCTTGATCTCCCTTTGACGAACTGAGATGATAGTTGGGAGAAGAAAAATCATGCACTAAATCTGGTTTGCGACAGAAGAACTGCAAAGATGTAATTGCATGTCTGATGTCACCTCCACTGGCTTTTGCCAGCAGATCAATCTGTTCAGCAGTCAGGCCACACTGCTCTTGTCTGCATATTCTAAGAAGAGTCTTCTTAATGGAATTACTAGTGACAGGATTAAAAGCAACCTGAAATTCCCAAAAGCAGCTACAAATGAGCATTTGATAATGTAAAAGTAAATCTGAGACCACAGCTGTTCAAGAAAGTAACCTTACAAGCCCCAGCATTCTCAAGAAACGTCTGAAGCTCTTCCAAGCTCCGTGCAGCATGATCTCCCGAATCTGCTTTACCACAGTCAGTTACCACAACAGCTGTTGGTATCAAAGTTGATCTCACAAGAAGCAGCAAGCAGTTTTTAAGTCTTTCAAAAGCAATTCTTCCATTCGTCACAGGAATATCATCAATTACAAGTATAACTGATGCTTTAGATTCTTCAGGAGAGGATGATGTAATCAATCCATATTTCCTTACTTTCTCAACAAAATTCTCAAACTCATCCAACTTAGATGTGTACAGTACCCCTAGCAGTAGTAGCAACAACACATAACCGCCATAAGAAAGTAGCCAATTTAATCATTGAAACTTATTAACAAAACATTATATTTTTTTTCCATATGACCTCAAACTAAAAAGTTCAATTCACCTAAATAATATGAACAGTTTCGCATAATATTCATATTTCACTTTCAATGGTATCAATTAGCACAAATACTCTATATATACAATATTCACACTTCAACAAGAAATTATTTCGCTCAATCAAAAGTTCATGCATAGCAACAAAGTGAGACACAGAAATCTTCAGCTTCAAGTAATTTGCAAGCTCAACAGAAGACATATAATTTGTGAACCTTAAAAATATCAGGATGTAACCAATAAAAAAAAAAAACGAGTCTCCAATCCGACTGACCCCAGTGTTCCATTCATCCTTTGTCTTAAAGGACATATTGACTTGAGATACCTGCATTAAAGTTATATGCATGTTCTTGCCAAATTGTGGGTGTAGGAGTGTTCCATTCATGTAATTTTGCTCCAAGATGAGATGCAATCATGTGGACAGTTGCCTGCAAGATAAGAAATATTATCACTTGGCTGTTCATGGGCACATTTAAGTTGTGAGCTTTCTCAATGAAATTACTAAACAATTCAAAAAGTTTCTTTCCATCAAATTTACTTAAGATAGCAGGGCAAAAAGCCAAATCAGGTCGCAAGTACATGCCATCACAGCCCCACTTGTACGCATAACGTGTATCCAAAATAAATGGGAGCCTATTCCAACATAAGTCTAAAAGATCAATCATAAAACATACAAAAAATAGGCACAAATAAACTATTAATCATTCACCCAGAAAATATAAGATGAAGAAGATTATTAAGTCATAACAGAAGAGATAATTACATAAAATAATGTCTCTATTAAGATACAATCAAGAATAATCCTTTGCCAAAAATGATTGACAATTTGACATATGTACTAAAGAGTGATAACTTACAGATTTTCCTACTCCAGCTGGCCCAGAGATGACAAGGACACGGCTACTAAATTCATCCTGAAAACAACAAAGAAAAGGCCATTATATTTCACAATGCAACTGAAACATAATAAAGTCTGAAACAAATAAATTATGCCTACTTAGTTTATTACAATCTACTCAGCAATCAAGCTTATAGTTTACAGTAGCATATGCATTTTTTTTTTAAACCTTCCTCTGACATGTACCTTTGAAGTTCTCAACCTTTCCTCAAACCACGTCTTAACTTCCTCAACCTAAAAATACAAAACAGATAAAGTAAGCTCACATTCATATAAAAAAGAATATAAATAAAATTAGCTTAATGATTTTATGCACCTTCTTTTTGTGAACAGCAAGCTCTTCTAATGTGCGGGGTTTGTATTTATCAACCCACAACAATTCTTTTATGCAGCTCCGTCCAGAACCTGAATTATGATTCCATTTCTATTAAAATTTTAACAGGCCAAGTATAAACAAGATGCTACAAGACAAAAATTCAAGATTGAATTGTGGTTCATAAATTGGAGTCATCACAAACATTATCCATAACTTTCCCTACAAACTATAAAGAAAGACAATTTTATATGATTGCAAAATGAAAACCCAAATTTAAGTGGCCCTTGGTCTCTAGATTCCATTAATCCCCGAAAACAGTAAAATCCATCAAATGCAGATAAAAATCATAAACTATAATAACTGCGTACCAGCGGATACCTTGAACCCGTCAAGAAATTCATCAAAATCTTTGAAGGACGATGTAATCTGCATTCAACACAGTAACAATTCAGGCACCCACTACAACAACAATAAAAATAGACAGCTATCTCATAAATAAATGCGCTAGCTACAAAGCAAGTTAAAGTCACCAGAAAACCAAACCAGAGTCCTTGTTGGATATGCCAGAGAAAATAAATAAAATTATAAATATCAACAAAAAGGAAATTAAAGGATACCTCATCACACAAGATTTTTAGATAAGCGTGACCGAGAACCCGAAAGACGAGGCTTCTTTGCAGACCTAGGGTTTGTACGAGTAACTAACGACCTTGCTTTAGGCTTCTTATAGCTTCGATTAGAAGTCAATGAACGTTTATCATCTTCGTCATCCGATGATGACAATACGACGACGTTATTTCCTTTTCTCATCACAACCACTAAAGCAAACCCTAAATGTCAGGATTTGAACGAACAAACATTACTAGGAATGCCAACAACTCCGTTTCCGCGACTCACAAAACAAACAAAAAACCCTACCGTTGTGAAAAGTTTCAGAGCGCTTCTTCACAACGGCTTCTTCAAAACGAGGGCGTTTAAGATGCGAGAAAACAGAGAGTGGGAAGAAATGGAAGAGTTTGCAGTTGGTGAGTGTTATATAGGACAGGAATTTCGCGGGAAAATGTAAGGGGTTTTGTGAAAGAAGATTTGGCGATGGCTTATGGTGGAAGCTAATGGAGTTGGGTAGTTATACAGTGTGGTGGCGGAACACGGTCGAGATTTTTGTGCCGTTGGATTGCTTCAATGTTAAGCCAATGGGCCTGTAGTTTACTTAAAAGTTTTGAATTGGTCTTGGGCCGTAACTATAAGAAGAAAATACTATACCAATCTCCTCTCACAAACTTTCTCTCATAACCCGACGTGATAGCTCGTAATTGATCAGTTTACAACAGGTCCTACATAAGTTCCGCATGGATCCCACTAATTAATTATGAGCTACCACGTCAAGATTGTGAGAGATGTTTGCAAGAAAGGTGTTGGTGTAGATTTACTCCTACAAGAATTCAAAATTTGACACTACTAATTCAACAATAATGCTAGGTCCATAACCTTCTCACATAACCTCTGACGTGATAACTCGTCATTGATTAGCTCGCAATAAGGTAGGCAATACCTATACAGCAGTGAAGCAGACGAGACCCATTTTACGAGCTAACCAATGACGAGCTTCCATGTCGGGGGTTGTGAGATTGGGTTGTGAACTAATATTACTCTTAATTCAATTAATCTCTTATAAATCCTAAATTATGATATGATTTCTGTTCACCATTGTTGATTAAGTACTGAGAGATAATGAGAACGTTATTGCAGAAGAAAGTTTTAAAGAGTGCTCATGAACACACAGGGGAGTCTAATAATACCAGCCTTATTGATTTTGGGCCGTTTATGTTAGGCCTAATGGGCCTGTCCATAACCCATATCGTAAACTCAGGTCTTGTTCGGTATGCTCCATGATTCTGTTCAAAATCCAACGCAATTCTTGAAAACACAAACTTTTAGTCCATATTTTATTAAATAATAAGATTCAAAATTTGAAAGTTCATGTTTTTTTTTTTTTTTTTTCTTTTGGTAACCAGAGGTGTCCGGGTCAACTTACGGACATCTTGACTAATCTTCGGAATCTTGAAGTTAACAATCAAGTATACACTCCAATGGCCTGGATATACCATTCAATGGTCATTTCTATTAATAACCTTCGAGGCTGAAGTTTACGGCTGGATATACTCTCCAATGGCCCAGATAAATCCTTCAGAAGCCCGAATATATCCTCTCATAATCATCTCTATTAACAACTTAGATGATTTGAACTGATGACCTACTCAAAAGTCCTTTTCCAACCCCCTCAGTCCATTGTCGGTAGAGTAATAAACAGAAAAGGCTTGAATTAAGAAATGCTGAAAAGATATTTAATTTGGCTGTATAATGTAGGACATGAAAATGATGAAACATGAAAGACGAGTACTACTATTAATGTCGTTACTGATAATCCCAGATAATTAATCACGCTTAACAGTAGTTGTTGCTTGATATAACGACACACAATAAGATATCAGAATCTTTCTCTAGTACTAGGAGAATATTAGTTGGTAATTTAATTTATAATTATCAACAAGAAGAACAATAAAAAAAGATGTCAAACCAATGGGACAAAATCCATCATCTTATTTATATATATAAAACTATTATCAAATCTTTGCTCAAGGCTTAACTGAGACAAAAAATTTCAGCATCAGAAAAAGTATGGAACGGCAACAAGTTCTTCATATGAAAGGAGGTGTGGGTGAAGAAAGCTATGCAAAGAACTCAGTTATTCAGGTTTAATTCTTCCTATTCTCTTTCAGATTTTACTTTATCAGACAGCATTTTAGTTATATTATGGTATCAGAGACTTTGTTCAAAGTTTATGAGACTGATAGAAGAAGAAAAATGAGGCACCATTTTACTCATTCATATGTCCTGCCTGCTGCACTGAAGTTGTGGTCCCTAACAATAACATTTTCGGAGCCAAACATATCCAGGAAATGGGCTAACGTTTCCCCATTTTGGTCACTGTCTTGGGGGCCTATCACTCATGTGATCTTGTAGCTAATGGCAGATTTCTGATAAAACTGATTCAATGGCAGATTTCTGATAAAACTGATTCTAATATTTGCTAGAAGGCCATTGGAAAAGAAAATAGTATTTGAAGATCCAAGTTGTAATCAAGTAGGAAATGAATTGAACCTCTAAATAATGCATGAACTGTAAAGTTAATTTGCTAACCTTCTGAGATTTAATCACTTGTTGATTTTGTTTTGTGGTAGACAACATATTTGTCCAAGTCAATGTCTGTTCTATGGCAAGCGCTACAGGATTTGGCTTCCTCCAACTTACCAGAGAGTGTCACCATTGCTGAGCTCGGCTGTTCCTCTGGCCCAAACACTTTATTTGCAGTTACTGAAATCACAAGCATCATTTGCAAAAGATGCCGTGAACTTGGTCGACCACCGCCCGATTTTCTCGTGTATTTGAATGATCTTCCCGCAAATGATTTCAACACAGTGTTCAAGTCTTTGCCAGATTTTCACCAGAAGATGCAGGAAAAGAATGGACCAGAATTTCAGCCTATGTATATTTGCGGTGTTCCTGGCTCTTTCTATGACCGGATTTTTTCATCAAAATGCCTGCATATTGTGCACTCTTCTTCTAGCCTCCATTGGCTTTCCCAGGTAATTAATTCATCATTAAACACTCTTCAGGTCCTGTTTCGACTTTTCTTTCATTCAATCAATCTTGGAGATATGCTTATAGGTACCTCCAGAATTGAGTGACAAAGAAAATCCAGTGATAAACAAGGGGAAGATATTCCTTTCAAAGACAAGTCCACCAGCTGTTATAAACGCTTACAAGACTCAGTTTCAGAGGGATTTTTCTTCATTTCTCAAGTTTCGCTCAGCAGAAGTAATCCCTGAAGGCCGCATGGTTTTGTCATTCAGGGCTAGACGAACACCTGATCCAACCCCAGAAGAAAGCTGTCTTCTTTGGGATTACTTGGGAGAGGCATTCCAAGATTTAGTCGCTCAGGTATATTAATATACAAACTCTTTTACACAATTTTGTTTTATACAGTATTGGACACTAATTCATGTAGTGTTATAATGTAGGGGCTGATTGAAGAGGAAAAGTTAGATACGTACAATACACCGTACTATGAGCCATATACAGAAGACATCAAAGCAGAGGTAGAGAGAGAAGGATCCTTCACTCTTGATCGAATGGAGATTAATGTAGCACCATGGGATGGGGTGAATGGAGGAAACAAGTATGAGAGGGCAACAACAGCTGAAAATATGGCAAAGGCTATTAGAGCAGTTAATGAGTCAATGATTGAGAGTCATTTTGGACCTGAAGCTGAAATTATGGATCGTTTATTCCAAAGGTTCATTGAAATCTTGGCAGCAGATACAAGGGAAGTAGAACATGTTGGTGTTGTTGTTTCTCTGATTAGAAAGTGATTTTGCACACAACAGCTAATGAGTTGTATACAGTTGCATCCCTTCCTGGAAAAGAGAATATGTGAATGTATTCAATTGTTCAACTCTGGCTTACTATTCATCTTTATACCATAAAACTGTGGTTAGAACTAAAGAGTTAAAGAACCAACAGTTACCTTCAAAAGAGGTGCAACAGCAACACTGCCTTCAAGTAATCAAGATAATTCATATCTGAAGTCTTTGCTTCATCTAGGACAGCTTGAACAGCATTAATGAGGCCAACAAAGAAGCCACCACAGGCTGACTAAGGAAGCTGATGGACAAAATTCAAGTAATTGAGAGAGTTTATTAAAGAATTTCATATGGGGCACTATTATCAACAGTAATTTGGGCTCCAAGTCTACACTGCAATTTAGTTCTTAATATTGAAAATAAAATTAAGTTAATACAATACTACCTCAATTTTTAAAACACAATTTACTTCAAAAACTATGAACTAGAGTTTCTGCTTCTATACTCATGTGTCAACTAAAGTACAACAACATCCAGTTTTTTCCAAGGCCCTAAAACATGAGGCTAAATTTAGCTTCTTCGTTCTGAAGAATAGTAAAGCGCCTCAAGCTCTTTGAGACTAGCAGCTGCCTCCTCTCCAATTCTAGCCAAAACACGGTCAGTTTTCTCTGCATGTCTGTTAAAATCAGTTGTTTTTTGTTCGACATGGTCAGTAAGAGACGCAAATCCTGCAAATATTGCAGTCTGTTTTAACTCAGACACCAACTTAAGCAAAGAGTCACCAGCCTGAACCTGTTCTTCATTAATGGATTAAGAAGAATGAAAAATTGAAAACAGTTAAACATTCAGAAAGTGCATGAAATAAAGCTTTATAATACTTTAGATTTGAATGATCTATATATACACATATATCAAAAAGTACGTATTGCAAAGAAATTAGAGAAAGTTTGTGGTGTTGTGTGCGACATTCATGCTAAAACTTCTAAATGCAATAAAACATATTCTTTTTTAAGAAAATTACACACCATTCTGGATGCACGCATCTCCATTGTGAATGCTTCCTGCGAATTCCTAACAGGTAGTTCATTTACCTACATATAAAAGGTACAACCAAGTGAATAGATGAATTCAATAGACATTTTCAATCCATGTTAGAACAATTTTCCAACCATATAGCAAAAATCCTCTACAAGAAGCTATTAAATAATTTGTTCATAAAGTAAAAGAAATTTCTCATTTGAATGTAAAGCTTCGCCCCAGTTATACGTGCAAAATTTGGTTCAAGAAGATAAATATATGTTCTCTACTTCACCAAAGGATTTTTTATTATATTCAGTTAACTTAGACATGTGTCATTAACCAAAGATTAGCAAATTTCCATACTTTCTTTATCATATCACTATACATACATTCAACAACGATTAAAAATTAGGTTCTCATGTGTTTTAACAGTCGTAGTAAATTATTTAAAATTAAAATGAGCCATACGACTGGAGAGGGAAAAAAAAAAACGGTTCTTAGTAGTAGTATACCCTGGCAACATTGACTAATTGGCTGAAATTGTCAACAATATTAGCAATATCAGTTTCAACTCTTTGCATCAGACTCTTCTGCTTCTGAGCTCCTGCAGCTGCTGCTGCTGCTGTGGGCCCACTTCCTCCTCCTTTATTCATTATTTTCTCTGTTAAAAACCACTTCATAGCCATTGAAGTTAATTTGATTTCATTGAAGCATTTAAAAAGAAAATAAGCTCACAGTTAAACAAAACTAGTCAACAGTCACACTATCGTCAAGTTTTAAATGGATTATTTAGTTTGCTACAGGAGATAAGGCTAATACATCTTTGCCATGGAAACTATATTCTCCTTAACACAATACACCTATCAAATTATAGTTTCCATTTCCTAACATGACAAGACAAGGACAAGATGTTATATTAATTACAAAAAGGTAAAATTTAATATCACTATAAAGTTTTTACCATGAGCAAAGTTTAGAAGGATGTTAAGACACTTGTACTTTTTTTTTATAGTGCAGATAACGACCCTAAAGAGTTACTTGATCATAGACGAATTCATGTAATGTGTTTAAGTAGGTGTTGTCGAGGGCTGTTATTGTTTTAGAGTGTAAAAGAGGCCTTAAGAGAGTAAAATCCTTGACAAGGAATGGTATTTGAAAACAACCCACCGCAAAAATTTGGGCATAAGTTTCCCTCTTTCCGGGCATTTCCTGAATTAAAATATATAAAAGTAACTCAAAATCCATAAAACATTACACCACAGAAATACTCATTACGCATTCACATACTATAACAGGGCCAAAAGTATATATTAACATGCTTACAAAAACCACCTCAAACCATAGAACTAGCCTAACATTCCAAGAGCAATTCATGATTTCAGTTTCAGCATAAAAAATCAAAAGAAATAGAACTTAATAGCAAAATTATCTCCACTTGGAATGTTGTTCCATACAACTGAAATTAAATTTCTAAAAAAAAGATGCTAAAAGTCTCAAATCCGAATGGTTCCTTACCCGAATTCCAAGCTCAGGAACTCTGTATGGTTCAAAATCTCTCTCTCCTTCCTATCCTTGCCTCCTGAATAGAGCATGAAAATTCATTGAAATACTAACAGCAGCACATGGAATCAACAAAATTCATGAAAGAAAAGACACTAAGCTTAAATAGACTAAATTTAAAATCAATTCGGTAAAACCTACTTTCATTTCACTCTTCCCCCTTCTCCTTTCTCTTCTTTCTACTCCGCAACCCCAAGCACGGTCTTCTGCATCTTTCTTTTAATGCCTTCCATGTTTTAGAAGAATGGGCAAAGCCCATTGAAAATTATTTGCTTATGGGCCTCAAGGGACGACATTTATAACCCAATATACATTCCTTTGGCCCCCTTATTTCTAAAACTTTCATTTATCCCCCCTAAAATGTAATTTACTAAATAATGTGCTTAACTTCTATCATCCTAATCCATTAAAATTTAAACATTACAATATCTATTTATAAGGAAAAAAAGGTTATATGAATACAGTGAATATGTAATCACCGATTGAATAATTATTCATATACTTTGTAAAAATGATAAAAATATGATTCGAGTCACCACTTTGATGTAGACGATAATAATTAGATTCGAGTAATCACTTTTACATTAAATTATAATCGACAACAAATTAATTAAGGGATTAGTGGAGACCACTTAGTTGGGAAGGACCACCCCTTGGGCCTAGGGTGGTCATGGCCACCCCAAGCTATCTATTGACTGAGTGGTTTGATAAAGACTCTTGGGTGTATTTGTCATGAGTTCGAGTCCTTCCTCAGTTGCTAATAGGAGTAACTACTAGAGCTTTTATCTAACCGATAGTCCAAGAGTCTCGGAGGATTAGTTAAAACGTACGTAAACTGACTGAAACACCACCACCGGTCATTATATATATATATAATGAGATTGAAGGGTTGAAGGTATCAAGCATCTGTAACTGTAAAAGAAAGAATCGGAATTGAGGAAATATATGAAGAAATGAATGGATTCGGGGCCGCAGAATAAGCGATAAGCGGTAAACGTACAACCATGAGCCTGAAAGGGGTTTTTGAGAAAACCAGGATTCTCTAAGCTTGCCTATATAAAGGAATGAAGGATACTTGCAAGTTCCTAGGATGAAGTAACTAATTAGGCTGAGTTAGGCCTCCCGAGGCCACTGGGAATGGGTGGCTGGGGATGATGATGATTGATGATGGTGATGAAAAACTTCATCTTCGTCATCTTTGATAATGAATTATCGTTCCATGCCACCCTTTCCATTGTTTCTGGAGATTTCCCCCTTTTCACTTAATGCTGCATACCAGAGTTGATAAAGAAAATATCTTCTCATTTATACTCGATTCTGAATCAAACCTACTTTCATTTTACTCTTTCTCTTCTTCGTTCTGCTCCACAAACATTGATAAGATTTGGTTAAATAAATACAATAGAGCATACCATATACAACCTCTTTTATCAAAATAAAATTCAGTTGAAGGTGGAAGCTCTTAAATATTGACAAAGAATCAGTCAATTAAAGAACCCTTTCTTTAAGATTGAATTCCTAATTTCATAGTTTTTATCTTTAAACTTCAAAATCACCTGTAATGAACTTTTTCCACCCATAAACTTTGAGAAAAACAATTTCTCACTCATGGAAAAACAATTCCTAATTATGTTTTTAGTAAACAATGGACAGTAAAATCTTACAAGTATCTCAAAACATCTTTGGTTTGCTGCAGCTAAAATTTAAAAGGTGAATACATGAACCAAATGTTGGAGTTCCAGATAATCTAAAGCTGGGAATCAAATTCACTCCAAAATTTAAAAGCAATACATGAACCAAATGTTGAACCTATCAATCCCCTTCACAGATAGTCTCAATAAATATATCCTCTTTCCCACAAGGAATTTACTTCATCACTATATACCTAAAATCAGTCTCCAGTGCAATGGAGATTGATAGAATATTGCAATTACAACTATACAGGAGGAAACATCAACCAAACAAAGAAGTTGCGCAAGCAAAAATATCACAGCATCATATCTATAATATTGTTCAAGTCAATCAATATCACTGATTCATCTCTTTCTCTGACCTCCAAGCTTCACTGTAAGTTGCTAGCAAGGAAAGGGCTTGTTAGAAACTACAGGGACCTGGGGTAAATCAAAACCACAGAATTGAAATTCATGTCTACATCTACTAGTCATGTACTCATGTATGAATATAAAGCATACAATCAAATGCAAATTGGAAAGTGCTGAAAAAAATGTTACTCTGCAGAAGTAACTGAATTAACTCAACATTGTTTCAATAAACTAGAATGCTGAAATTTAATGACCACCAAATAAAGACTATACAATCCTTTTAGGTTTGGAAAGTTGACATGCTACAGTTTGCCGGAAGAAACATAGATGTTCATATCCAGAGAATGAAAGCCTTCCTTCCTTTGATAGATATTCATCAGTTTAGGAACCTGGTCCAAGTATTTTGTCACAAACCTATCCAAGAATAATTTCTCAACAGGTCTTAGAAATGGACCTAGGCTCAAATTTTTCTTCACCAACCCCTTCGACTGCAGAACTTTAATAACCAAACACCTTGGGATTATCCTCTTCTCCAAAGTCATTAGGAAAACGTCTGGATACAAGGCAATATCTGTGGACTGCCAACCCATCTTGTTCACAAGAAAATCCATTGCATTTATTATTTTGCTTTCAGAGGCATTCAAAAAAATGGGGCATTTTCTGAAAGCCAACATGATGTCCTCATCGGACCACCCCCACCCCTTAAAAGTATCAAACTTCTGTTCCAAAGTTGATTGACTCAATGAGGCAAACACCTGCATTGCATGGATGAACCCACATTTCTGAGGATCAAAACCCATTTCAATAACCTTCTTGACATTTTTGTCAAAATTCTCACGATTTTGGAAGACTATAGGAGCATAACATATTAAAATTAGTGCAATAAGAGGCTCGGGCATTCCAAGTTCTCTCAGGACTGTAAGTTTCGGAGACACATTCTTTGGCAAATCTCTCTGAAAGAGCCATGATTTTTTTCTAAACGATTTGATAACATTTTCATCAGAGAGAAGCACACTTTTGAGGAATTTATAGTTAGGAATGAGTAGATTTTCCAAACTGTGACCCAGAATAGATGGAGTTGACGAGCAAACACTCACAAGCTCAGCATCTGTTACACCAAAAGATTTAAAAAACTCAAATTTACGCAATATTGACCTCTCAGGATTGGCTAAAAGTAAACTAGGGCGCCTTCCAACAGCTTTGATTATATGGGAAGCCGTAAATCCGTGGTTTCTTAGAACTTTCAGGACCGAATCTGGTTGTTCAGCAGATTGAAGCTTGATTCTTTTGGAGACAGATTTTGCCTTTTCAGTAGACAACCCACATGAATTTATGAGGTATGACACAGTAAATGAGTGGTCCTTTTCAACTTGTTCTATATTGGTTGAGAATGATCTCATGCCAGTGGGCAACAAACCCAAACACGAATCGACATGATTAGTGCCTAAATTTTGGACGACACACCTATAAATATTTGGTAAAACTTGTGCATATACTAGCCTTCTATACACAAAACCACACATCATAATCGTTGAAAAATATTAATAACAATGTATAGAAGGTTTTGCTCAGTATATAGATTTCACTCACCAGCTTGAAGAGTAGAGGAGAAGAAGAAGAAGACAAAGACACCACCCGTTACACCAAGAAAACAATCCTGGATACAAAGCTTCAAATAAGCAGGAACTTTTTTCACTCTCTTATTGACTTCTTCACCTTCAAAACGGCTAGACCTAAACCTAAAGGCAAAAATAGGATTGGCCCCAGTGACTTAACTGCAACAGACGGAATCATTAAGGACTTTTATGATTTTATAAAACTTGTATTCTCTTCCAGGTGAAAGAAAGCCAAAATAGATAATAAATTTTGGAAAATATTACACCCATAACCTTTTTTTGTAAATTTTTTTTTACAATCCTGACATGACAATTCATAATTAATCAGTTCGTAATGGATCTTATCTGAATCCCAAAAAAGGTTATCAGTATAACATTACTCATAAATTTTATATCAAATTATTGAGTTAACTAAGTTTATTCATTTGACTTGTTTGGCAGTAGATGGTTATTTAAAGCACTATATAATTTTGCTTAGATACCATATTATTATTAACATATTAAAAAAAAAATGGTTAAAGTTTGCATATACAGTTGATTCATTACCAATTCAATGTAACTTTTAGTTTAAAGTTTTTGCCGTTACTAAGAGATAACCTAAAAGATTAACTTATTAGGAGACATTGTTTAATCATCTCTTGAACCCAAAAACTTTAATATTATTTATATATCTATTAAAACTTATAGCTAAATAATTATAATCCCACTTACGAATGATTTCCATTAACACCTCAACATGGTTTTAAGCAATAACAAAATGACACATAAATAAAAAGGGAAAAATCATAGAAATTTGAAAACGAAAAGGTTAAAATCTAAAGGTTCGTATTTGATATTTATAACAAAAATAATAAATAAGTAATGTTGAAAACAAATATAAATTGCGTCAAAAGTGTATCATGAAGAGAAAGCAATAACAATGACATCATGTGTAAGGCCTAACATGAATCATCCCATCTTTCTATTCTTATCCAAAGTATAGTTTCATTTTTTCTGTTCACAGATCACAGTTTGAGAAAAGATTGCCGTTTTAGTATTTTACCATAAGCAAATGAAGGAAGTTCCATACAGTTTTGGAAATCAAGAGATAAGAAATAATGGCTAGGGTAGACAATTAGGATGTTAATTTTAGTAAAAATGTGCATCGTTTATAGATGATGGAGAAATGTGGTCCTCTCCATGATCTATATTTGTATACATCCTCTTTGTTTATTTGCAGAAATTCTTGTAAAGGTGGGTCAAAATAAAAAGTAATATCATATAATATTCGTATTTTATATTTCTGGAATTGGGGGTGGACATACTCTAGATCCGCCGCTCTATATTTGTGTACCAAAAACATTCTCCAAATCTTAACATATTTGATCAAATCCATCATATTTGATCAAATCTTATTCAGAATAGTAGCAACCTTAACTAATACATGTTTACAGAAAACCACAGCCTCTCCCTTCAGTCTGAATCATACGAAATCCCCGATTCAAACATGTAGTCAAAAATCACAGAAATATCATCGGGTATCTCTATGTCCCACAAGTTGAACTTATCAAATAAGGCCTTTTTGGAGAGAGCCAGCAGCCGCGGAATGTCCAAGTAGTCTGCGGCCTGCAGGACAAAAAATCGAACAGACAATTGTTACAAAACTTCGTGTTAAATCAAACAAAACTGAGGCAGAACATAGCTGTGCCAATACTGATAATCTCTCAAAAAAATTAACAAAGAATTTCCATAAACAGAAACACGTAAGACAAAAATTGCTACAGCTGCGTTTGTTTTGTTATTTCACCAATATCCTGTCTCTATTCCAAATAGAAATGGGAATTTCTTTTATTTTCAAAATCATATCCTAAACTAATTAAACCCCTTTAGTTTGTTGATTAACAAAACAACCCCAACAAAAAAAAAATTATAAATCAACAAAAACACCCTCACCCACCCATAGTTGCCAGATTCCGGCAACCACCGTCGGTGGTGGCCGACATCTGTCACAACGGCGCACTACCGGCCAAAACTGACCGGTATACGCTGATCCGGCCGGTTGTGCGCAATAACGCCAGATTCTGGCGATGGTGACCGGAATCTAACAACTGTAGGTGGATAGTGGTATTTGAAAACACATGACACAAAAAATTACTACATTATGTTAGGGAACAAAAATCAAGAAACCCTAATTTGGAAAATGAACCCAAATTTCGATAAACTAACAGATCGAGGGGAAAAAAATAGGTACTTACCCGAATGAGGCCAAAGAGAGTGACCTGGTCAACCAAGACGAACGTAGCCTCCCAGTTCTTGAAGTCGACCTTAGCTGCCGACCTCTTGAACTGCACCTCACGAAAAGCCCCATCAGCGTCCGCGGCAGCACCGGCGGCAGCGGCGGCAGCAGCCGCATCAAAATCGAATTTCATCTTGCGGCCATACAGATAGTCGATACCCCTTATAATTGAAAGACTCAAAATCTCCTCCTCATAGTAACGCTTCAGGAAGAAGACGACCATACCGAGCGTGTTGCTGTGAACTTTATGTATCGGGAAGACGTTAGTCACGTCACCAGCCCAGTGTTCATCCATCGCCCGTGCGATCATCCCAGAGTACATGGCGACGGCTTTGTCGATCTCAAAAGATTTGCCGCGACAACTTTTGCCGTCACAGGTCCAGTCGTCGCAGCTAGTGAGGATGACCTTCGTTGTTGCCGACATGGTATTGCTAGGGTTTCAAAGTGGAGAGGCTTTGTTGGCTTTGAACTTTGAAAAGAGAAGCGAATTGTAGAAAGGAGGGGCCGGCAGAACTGTTAGTTTATGAAAGTTGAAGGGGCCTCGGAGCTTCACCACTAAGTAAACTATTGTTTTTAATTTTTAATTTTTGAACAATATGAATTTTCAAGGAAAATAATACGGCACGGAAGGTAGTAGTGTACCTTAAATAATGTGATAAAATCTTAATCGTTAACTAATTATAATCTAATATTAATCGATGATCAGGATTATACTATATCATTCGATGCAAATTTGATACACTAATTTTGATAACTTTAGTATTACTTCATTTTCAAATGACTTTCAACCCAAAACATTCCCTCGTACATAACTATGAACAACCAAGTAAACCAATTCTCAACATGTTTAATCAATTTGATTGGATTGATGAGATGTCCTATCAACAGTGACAAGTTTCATTTAACCAGCACCTGTAGTAAAAATTAAACACACAGCTACAAATTCTGAGTTGTAAGCTGTAGCAACATTACTGTCTTTCTTTTATAACTACTCGTTAATGTTTCTTGACAAATAAGGAAATGACCAATTCAGTTCTTCACCATTTAACAAGTAAAAATCAAACATGTCCAAAGATGAAGCTGATATAGATTTTTATATGTTCAGCTTTGAATTAACAGCTAAATGCAGTAGCCTTTACCCATTGTGTATGCATAGCTTCAACCAATGACCCAGCTGATGTGCCCATGGCATAAATAAGACACGGCCTATATGTTAAATCTAGACTAACTAACCACCAAATAATAGCGGTGAACTTTTCTCAAGATTTCGGTGCCGGCCAGCTAGAGTTAGGTCATCCATGGAAATATGGATCCCGAATGTTTCAAGTCAATGGTTAGCCAACATGAGTACATAATAAAACCAAGTAATTAACTCAAACAACACTATACCTTAGAATAAATAGTCTATAATACATAATGTGTGAAATCTGGAGATTAATTTACATAGGGGTGAATTCATGGTGCAGAACCATTCTCAATACAAGTTTTATATCACAGTGGCAACTAGCTGTTACCTCTATTTTTGCTCTTGGAAGTTGATGAATCTCCAACCAGCAGCTAAATCGAGCTTTCATTAGGTCATTATGATTCCATGAATTGTGAGGGTGGGGGGCTCCTTTTTGTCTTCTTAGGACCTGCAAGTTGGTTTTATACCAACATGGAAAGAGGGAAAATTGTGAGAAAAATCCATGAATTAGAAGGGCATAAGGAACCTCCAAGACAGATGATGCAACATGACTTGGTATCCTCAAACTTAGTAACAGAATCACCTGTGCACAGTATCAGAGATATGGACAATGGATCTAGAAGAGATCGTGCATTTTACAAAAAGAAGTGAAGCACTAGCATAGGACATACCATAGAGATGCCACGGATTTCCACTTCTTGCCATTCTTGGACAAGAGCACAGCAGCAACACATCAAATGTGACAAGAAATCATCAACAAAACCCACCCTGCCAAAGGAAGAGACAATAAGCAGATTATATGGGGAAACAAATTAAAGAAAGATCAAGTTTTGGACCTTAGGATTAATTATATGGGACTAAATCCTCCATCAACAGTCATCCTAATGTATGGTCTTGCAAGCAGAAGATTATTGAGTGCAATTTTCAGCGAGAAAAATGATTTTTAAAATCTGCTATAAGCATGTTTTTCTTGTTTTCATTTTCCTATTCTTTATGCTGATTCAACGTCCCCTGTAAGTCTTAAAGGGGTCTGCTTATGTTAAATGCTTATGAAAATGATCAATCTTTTAGCAGTTTAGATAAAGGTGGCAATGGTTAACCGTATTTACAGTGAGGCACACAAACAGGAGAATAAAACAACAGCAGCCGCATCCAACAGGTTTATTTTCCTAATCTATTTTGTATTAACAGAAAGAGATCATGATCATGCAGTGACAGAGAATTAGTACCGTGATGTTCAATGTCTTACGAAGCTTCCTTCTAATGCAGCAAGTGTAGCAACAGCATGATAATATCAAAGAGTATGCCATGAGTTCATTACATGCTTCTGCAGGAGCTGATGAACACGGAACCAGAATTACAACACATAAGCCTTTAAGTGATTACAGCCACAAATGAAATTTCAAAAATATTGGAATGCCGGGTCGATAATGATATAAAAAGCAATAAAACCGAAAATTCATATGATTCATGCGATAGGATCATCATTTTATGATCCATTTCCAAAAGATAAAAACATTGCATGCAACTTTTCTAAATTGT